GTCCATTTAGGGCCCCAGGTACACATGCAGGGAACGAGGCAGGATGGTGCACACCTGAGATCCCAACACATGGAGGGGTCCAGGCAAGAAGACGATGAATGATGACAACAATACTAAAGTCAGCCAGGGCCACATAGCAAGGCTGTCTCAAATGACCAGAGGGTCTAGTCTAGGGGGGCTCTCGTCTGTGCTGCCCTCCTTGGTGATGCGGCCCAGTAAGGGCTTCAAAATAATAAATATAAGTAAAAAATAATACCAGGAGTCTTTAAAAGCATTAGCACTACCCTCAGCTGAGTACCCGCCACGGAACTAGGGTACACGCACACACGCACGCGCGCGCGCACACACACACACACACACACACACACACACACACACACACACACAAGCTATGCCCCCGGCCCCCTTTTCACTCTTGACCTTGCAATCCTCCTGTCTCCATCTCCTGAGCAGCTGGGGTGACCCCACCACATCCAGCTGGGAGCTAGATTTTTCTTTTAAACACCTTGCACCCAAGACATTCCCAGGTACAGCTTGAGTGCCTTAGGGAATGTGCCGGGTGGGGCTGCAGAATGGCTCAGCAGTTAAGAGTGACACTACTGCTCTAGCAAAGAACCCAAGCTCAGTTCCCTCACCCATGCCCAGGAGCTCATAATCAGCAGAGGGGGATCCAATATCCCCCTCTGGCCTCCACAGGTGGGTACCTGAACTCTCTGTCTCTCTCTGTCTCTCTCTCTCTCTCTCTCTCTCTCTCTCTCTCTCTCTCTCTCTCTCTGTCTCTCTCTCTGTGTCTCTCTGTGTCTCTCTGTGTCTCTCTGTGTCTCTCTCTGTCTCTCTCTCTCTCTCTCTCTCTCTCACACACACACACACACACACACCCGCATCCACACACACTAATAATTAAAATTTTTCCTCCCTACCCAGGGTCTCACTATGTAACAGCCCTGGCCATCCTGGACCCTTCATGGAGACCAGGCCGGCCTCACAGAGATCCGCCTGCCTCTGCCTCCGAGTGCTGGGATTAGCGGCTGTGCTCCATTACACCGGCATTAAATCTTTTTTAAGAGAGAGAGAGAACACACAGGGTGCTCTGTAAGAACCCTAGGTTTGATCCCAGCATGGGGGATGGGGTACTCTGAGAAGGCAGGTTTGTGGGAATGCCCAGTTACTGATGGAACAGGGACCAGGGAGCTCCATACCGAGGTTCCTGGCCCAGGGGCCCTCAACCCCTGACTACCCTGCCATGGGGTGACCCAGGTCCAGAAGTGCTGAGACGCCCCCCCACCAAAAAAAAAAAGTGATCACAGGCCATTCACAGACAGCAGAGGTTCCCTGACAAAGGCCTGTACCCCCAACTCAATCCCTGGGACCCTGCAGCCACCCTGAGGGCACTAAAAGGTCTCCAGAGGACCAGACGGACCTGCCATTCTCATGGCCAACTTTCTCTAGCCGCTGGCCTGGAGCCATGCTAACCTTCCCTCTTCTCCCTCCCTGATCTGCAGCTCTGGTCTTTGTTGCCTCCACCTGGGTGAGGGGCGAGGCCCGCTATGGCCACGCTTCCCTGCCAGGAACAGGTGTGGGCCTGCTTCCCCAGGTCTCAACCACCTCCAGGATCCACTCCCAGCCCAGTTAATATACAATCTTCATGGGACCTCTAATTATCCCAGAGGTTTTAACAGACTGTGTCAGTGCTCAGGCCCCAAAGCCAAGCTGCTGCACCTCAGCCAGTGCTCCCTTCCACCTCCCCAGCTGGCCCAGCCACTAAGGCTGCCTGTCTTCAACAAACTCATTTCACAGACTCCACCTGACTGCCAGACACTGAGCATTGAGAGAGGCTCAGGAGCCCCATCACACCAGCCCCAGGGTTCAAGACCCTGGTACCAACAACCTCAGGAAAGGCTGAAGGACCAGAGTTAAGGATGGAGGCAGACCAACTTGCAGTAAGACAGAGAGCCTCTTGAGCCGCTTCCAGCCCTGGGGATGCCATTAAAATGCAGTGAAAGACTGAGGTTCAACTCAGTGGCAGAGCACAGGAACCTGCTTGACAAATGTACCTAGCATGTAGTTAGCATGCCCGAGACCAGCATGCACAGTTAGCATGCCCGAGACCAGCATGCACAGTTAGCATGCCCGAGACCAGCATGCACAGTTAGCATGCCCGAGGCCAGCATGCACAGTTAGCATGCCCGAGACCAGCAGCATGCAGTTGGCATGCCTCAGAGCAGCAGCATGCACAGTTGGCATGCCTCAGACCAAGGTCCAACTTCCTGCACTGTAGAAAAGGAAGCAAAAGCCGAGAGGCTCTGGTTCAGTCAGACTGAACGTGCAGTGTCTTAAGAGTCTATCTACCAAGTTCAGCCTTTTTTGTTTGTCTGCTTTGTTTTGGTTCTCTTGAAGACAGGCTCTTTGTAGTCCAGGCTAGCCTTGCGCTCCTTATATATAGCAGAGGCTGTTTCAATTCATGCTCCCCCTGCTACTACATGCCAAGTGCTGGGGTTACAGACCCCATTCCACAGGACTGTGGAGTTCCTAAGGGGTGCTGCCGCTGGGGACTGGAGTCCCTCTGGGTACAGTGAGTTACAGCACCATCACTCATCCCTCGTCAGCGGTAAGCCAGGCTCCCTCCTCCTTCTTCACAAGTCCCTAGCGCAGTGCAGCCTCCATAATGGCACAGCTGACTCACTGGCCCTGCCAGCGCTGGCCCTGCGAGCATTAGCTGGGACTACAAGGAGCTTGATTCCCACCAGAGAGCAGTTTGAAAATGCCACAGGAAAAACAGAGTTAATTCTGCCCTGGAAGGTGAGGTCCCAGCTCTTTCAAAAGAGGCCACTTTGGGCTAGGTCTCAGAGGGTGGGACAGATTTACTCAGGCAGGCAGGAGCCACACAGGAGCAAAGGTAAAGAGACCAGGGGGTGGTTCCAGGAAATGCACCTGAACTTCTGTTGAGGTGCTTGCCCATTAGGCTTGGGCCTGCACACCAGGCCGGGCTGGGAAGGCAGTTGTCTTCTGGGGGGCGGGGGGGGGGGGGGGTGGTGGTTTGCATAGGAAGGGACACCCTGGGGTCAAGAGCTCTCAGATGTCCCTGAGACCTGCCCTGAGGTCCAGGTGGACTAAAGTAGCAGTTCCTGGGGCAGGACGGGCCAAAAGGAAGAAAGTGCGTGGAGAGCAGGAACAGAAGGCTGCTGGAGATCGCACTGAAGGTGTGGCTCCATGCTTAAGAGAGCTGGCCTCTCTGGAAGAGGACCTGAGTTCAACCCCACCACCCACAAGATGGCCACACCCATCTTGTAAAGGGGATCCGGTGCCCTCTTCTGGCCTCCACAGCCACCAAGCACCCACATGGTACACAGACATGCATGCATGCAAGCAAAACACCCATTCACATAAGAGAGAGAGAGAGAGAGAGAGAGAGAGAGAGAGAGAGAGAGAATGCAGAGGGATTCCCAAACGAGGGAGAGAGACTGCCTGAGGGTGGGGAAAGGAAACTGAGACCCTTCTCTTGGCTCCGTCCACCCTCCAGGGGCTTAAAGGACATCTACCCAGCTCAGTCCTGAGCCAGACACATCAACAAAAGAAGTGGCTATTTTTCCAAAGTGCTGCAGAGCTTGGGGAGGAGGGGGCTCGCACCTCTGCCTTCACCCCTCCCCCACACACACACCGGTCCCACAGCAGAGTGTGAAGAGCTGACTGGATCTCCCTGGCACTGCTCTGTGCCGGGCTTGCAAAGATGCTGGCCCACATGTGGCCCCACCCCTTTTCTCCCGGTAACTTCAGAGGAGAAATCTGACGGGGAGGTGTGTGTAGGAGACAGCCTGGAGGATGCTGGGAGGGGGAGGAATGCTGGAGCTCACTTCTCGGCGGGCAGGGAGACTCCTGCGGTTTCTCCTCCCTACAGCACACTGAATTCCAACCACCAAGTGGAGAAACCCAGGGAGCCTGGAACTTCCCACCTGCCGGAACAGTGTAGGGCTAACCTCAGACTAGTGTAGGGCTAACCTCAGACTAGTGTAGGGCTAACCTCAGACTAAGGATGCCCCACACACACTTTGAGAGGCCCCACAAAGGAGTCACCCTCTGGGCAGTTGGGTGTTGCTGGGTAAGATGAGACCACAGAACATTGCCGCCCCCTACACACACACACACACACACACACACACACACACACACACGTACACACACGTACACACGCACGCACGCACAGCTGTGAGCCTGAAAATGGGGCAGGAGCACTAGTAGATCCTGGCCTGCTCTCCTTTTACGCCTCCAGCAGCAAGGTGCCCTGGGGCTTCTCAAAGATACAGGTCTCTACCCTCTCCCAGTTCTCAGGCCTGGCACCAGCTTGGGATGGAATCGATTCCCTGCTTATCCAGCCCAGACCCCGGGGGGTGGCAGCCAGAATTAATTAATGTTTGCAAAGCGCTCTAGAGAACCTGGGACCAGGGGCGCCAGAGTTGCTGCACAGGAAATTGACGGGGAGGAGGGGGGACGACCAGCTGGCCAAGACCTGGGTTGCCTGGGCCGGGAGGGTAAAGAAAACACTCCTACTAAAGGGGGTTGGGGCACAAGGCGAGTGAGAAGGGGCTACCCATCAAAAACCGATTCAGGACGGGGCGACAGAGGTGAGTGCCAGGCTCCAGCCTGAGCCAACCCTAGCACCCCAACCCCAGCCAAGCACACCCAGTCCCTCTCCAACTCGGGGCCCAGACACCTGCCACCTGCACCTCCCAAGGACCACTGCAGAGGAAGTTCAAACCCCTCGGCCGGTCGCGAGCGAAGGAAAGCAGTGTGCCACAAGTGGCGGGCTGAGTGGGCCCCGGCGCCTCCTGCGAGCGAACTCCCCAGGGCGCTTATACTACCTGAGCACTTCCTTTCCAGTGTCCCCTCGCTTCTGGAGACTGGGGCGCCCAAGCCCGCTATCGAGGGGCAGGGGACAGGGCATCAGGAGACTCCCAGCTGGTCGGGCATCCCCGACGCCCCCTCTTTGCCCTAGGCTCACTCACCCCAAAGTGCTGATGAAGCCATTGACCGAGCCCTCGGCGTACAGGGACACTATGTCCCCGATGTGAAGAAAGCTGGACATTTCGTTCATGGCTTTGGCCCTCCGGGGCTCCAGGCGGCAAGGTTGCCCGCGAGCGAGCTGCCAGGCTCGGCGCAGGGGGCTGTAGCGCACTGGGCGGAGAGGGGCGCGGTGCCA